AACTATGTAATAATATATATACTGCTCCCAGACATGCACTGAGCCTAATATGTAATAATATATAAATACTGCTCCCAGACATGCACTGAGCCTAAATATGTAATAATATATAAATACTGCTCCCAGACATGCACTGAGCCTAAATATGTAATAATATATAAATACTGCTCCCAGACATGCACTGAGCCTAAATATGTAATAATATATAAATACTGCTCCCAGACATGCACTGAGCCTAAATATGTAATAATATATAAATACTGCTCCCAGACCTGCACTGAGCCTAAATATGTAATAATATATATATACTGCTCCCAGACATGCACTGAGCCTAAATATGTAATAATATATATACTGCTCCCAGACATGTACTGAGCACTCAACCCAAATATGTAATAATATATATACTGAGCACAGCTATGTAATAATATATATACTGCTCACAGACATGTACTGAGCACTCAGCCCAAATATGTAATAATATATATACTGAGCGCATCTATGTAATAATATATATACTGCTCCCAGACATGTACTGAGCACTGAGCCTAAATATGTAATAATATATATACTGAGCACAGCTATGTTATAATATATATACTGAGCACAGCTATGTTATAATATATATACTGAGCACAGCTATGTAATAATATATATACTGCTCTCAGACATGTACTGAGCACTCAGCGTAAATATGTAATAATATATATACTGAGCACAGCTGTGTAATAATATATATACTGCTCCCAGACATTTACTGAGCACTCAGCCCAAATATGTAATATATATACTGCTCCCAGACATGTGCTGAGCACTCAGCCCAAATATGTAATAATATATGTACTGAGCACTCAGCCCAAATATGTAGTAAGATATGTACTGAGCACAGCTATGTAATAATATATACAGCTCCCAGACATGTACTGAGCACTCAGCCTAAATATGTAATAATATGTTTGTGCTCGGAATTTCTAATACGTAATGGAATGTAGAAGGAGAAGCAAAGTTGGTTGAGGTTTGCCGAAACCAACGTACGAGTGGGCCTGTAATAGATGACCTACAAAGGTGAATTGTAAATATATATGGGTGTGGGTGGGGACAAACGGCTTGCACGACAAAGGTAAGTAGGGAGGAAGGGGTTTAAATAGGGTCATAACTCCTCCCACAAGTTCAGGCCAAATGGCCTTCCAACTTGTGCTCGGAATTTCTAATACGTAATGGGATGTAGAAGGAGAAGCAAAGTTGGTTGGGGTGTGCCGAAACCAACGTACGAGTAGGCCTGTAATAAAAGAGGGCAAAAGAGAATTAAAAGAACACACACTTTATTGCAAGTTTATACAGCGTGAGTACTGAAAACTTGTAAGGAGCTTTACTCTGAGGTATGTATGTAACTGAGCTGATGATTACTTGTGACCCCATCACTTAGTGATGTAGACTGGGGTATAAGAGTTTGAAGCTGCTGCTGCAGCGTTTGCTAAAAGAGACCAGCGAAGGAGACATGATGTAACTCAAGTTTAATGAAAGGGTTAGATGTGAAGTAATGGATTAGGACTGATAGTGAGTGGTTGACCTTGGAGACGTAACAGCTGAGTGACAGCATAGGAGGTTTAAGTAAGATGCTTGGTTTGTAGGTTGAGAGGAAGAGGCAAAAATTACCATAATTTAACTGCGAAAGTCTTGAATCCAAGCAAACATCTGCATGACATGGTACAATATACAAAGCCGTGACGTAAGTGATACAATAGTCGTGAAACTACGTGAAGCGTGCGTACCTGTGCGTGGTGTAATTGTATGCTTAGTCCAAGATTAGCTCATGGAATGGTGTTATCCTGGATGGTAGGTGGTGGGCTGTGGGGAGTGCCTGAAAGAAGATTTTTTGGGAGCTTGAAAGAGCGTCAGCTGCTGTGTTGTGGACACCAGGAATGTGGATGCAGACTAAAAAGAACTGAGAGGTAGCTGCCTGCCACGTCATCCTGCGAATCAGCCTCATAATAATTGTAAGTGCAAGTTAGTGTAAGCATCTAACTGCCTTGCCGGTCCAAAGATGACCCCATTTGTGGGTGGCCACTACAATGGGGTAGATCTCAAATAAAGTAGAAGTTTCTCTAAAGGCCGGCAAGGCATCCGTCTCAGTGGGCCAGTCGTCCCTAAACCAGTGGTTGCTGAAGATGGCTGCGAACCCTCTGTGCCACTGCGTCTGTGTGAATTGAAGGTGAGTGCTCTGAAAGTGGGGGAATGAACAAAGAGATCCCATTCCAGTCAGCCAAAAATCTACTCCACATGTGTAAATCTGCTCTAGCTGGATCGTCCAAATTGATTGGGCAGGAGTCGGGCACACCGTGGAGCAAGTTGGGAAGCCTGGAGACAAAAGACCCACCCTGCGAAATGTTACACATTGCAAAGTTGAGGGACCCCAATAAGGACTGGAGACCCCTCCTAGTGCACGTAACACTCCGCAGGAACAGGACAATCTCGTTCCTAATGTGGGACAGTTTGTCTAGTGGTAGACTGGCTTGGAAGGTAGTGGTGTCTAATTCTAAGCCCAAGAAAACGAGCCTGGTAGAGGGACCAAGTGTTTTGCTTGGTGACAAAGAGACCCAGAGTGTCGTGAAAAGAGCTGTGGTTGAGTGTATATTGTGAGGTGATTGTAAACCTGGTTCTATCAATAAAAAATCATCTAGATAGTGGATGACTGAGGGACACCTGATTATATTTAGGAGCAGCCAGCAGAGGGTTTCTGCGAAGATATCGAATAACTTAAGGTTGCTCCTAGAGCCAAAAGTGAGCCGGGTGGCGAAAAAATACTTGTTCCTCCATTTAACACTGTGTAAAGGGGTGAATAGGTAGTAGTTTAAAGGCATTAGATATATCTGTTTTGCTCAACCAAGCCTTACTACCTGCTAATATGATGGTTTGCATGGCATCATCAATTTTAGCATAATGTAGTGAGAACTCCTTGGCGGGAATGAGGGAGTTGATATGGGGAGTGGAGGAAGAGTGTGGTGCGGAGAGGTCTATAATCAAATGTTTTTTGTTGGAGCATTTTTGAGTGGTTAGCCCGATGGGATTGGTACGCCAAGATGAGAAAGGTGAAGACCGGAAAGGGCCGATCATGAAACCAGCTGTGATTTCAAGTTGGTCCACTGTAAGTGGGTCAGTGGAAGCGGATAAAAGGTTAGGGCATTCTAGTGTATCCGTGTGAAACCCCTGGGAGAAACCCATCACCAGATAATCTACCAGATGCCTAGCTGGATGTTACTGAAGATAGTATTCCAGGATGTCAATGTTAACCTTGGTCAGGCGTTTCTTAGGTGACAGACGGGCTGGGCAAGTGGACTTGGTGTGGGCTCTGAAGCAGATGGAGCAGATGTGAGATTACATACCCCTGCATTAAAGTCACTGCACACCCGAGCCATGACTTTTTAGTCTGCGTCCAGCATGTCTCTGCCTGCCTCCCTGACTAGTATGTTGGGTGAGGGAGTGGTGGGAAGTGGAAGTGTCTGTCTTGCTAGTGCCCAAGTCGGGGAAAAGAGAAGCTACGAGCGGCACTGAACGGGGGCCTCAAACCAGCAAAGTGATGGAAGAACAGTTCTGTGTCCATCTGGCACCAGTCGATTCTGATGTTGAACCATGCCAGATGGAAAGCTGCCTTGGCCGAAACTGATTTATGGAAATAATAAAATGAGGACCCTCCGTACCTGATACCCAAGTCAACCACCTTGTGTAAGTAAGAATCAAGCTCTTCCCTCTTATGTGGATACACCATGCAGATAACATCTCGATAAATGCCAAAGGCAATTACAAACTGAGGAACAGAAAGATTAGAGTTCAGTCGTGTGTCTCTGTCTTTCAGGACTACTGAAAGGTCCTCATGTACATAACTTGTGGTCTCTAGTGTTGCTTGGAAGGTCAGGAGTAGTGACGTCAAATTAATGTCTAAGTAATGATATGTAGAAACGATAAACAGGAAATGACACGTTAATATAATGCGGTTAAGTAGGTTTATGAGATTTTTGTTGGCATCTTAGTAAGGCGTCCTAGACCAGGTGTGTTTGAAGTTTAGAAACCACTTTGGAAGGTGCGCGGGGGGGAGGGGCTGCATAAGGCCCTGGAGGCTGAATGAGGCCTCAGGAAAAACGTAAATAATGGTAAACCTTTTTACCTGATACCGTAAAACGGGATACTGGATACCACTTCCTAAAGATTTGATTGAAGAAGAGTAGTAGAACCTAAAACATATGCATTCTAAGCATAAGGAACCAGAGTATAAGGTTTTATTTAAGAAACAGAGATTTTGCAACATGAGCTAATGATCTGAAATGAGCCTGGAAAAAAGAAAAGGGGTGGGGTGTGAACTAAGTTACAGCTGGGTTAAAAATTAGAGGCTTGATGGTGGGTTAGCCTACCGATATAAAGTGTAAGATGATTCCCCTGGAAATTGTGTTCATAATTTAATGTGACAGTGGGTGAAATAGTGCCACACAGACGTAGTGGAGAACCATATACTACACATAATTGATAAGGAAATAAAAAGAAAAGGGGGTGAGTGCTTATGTTACAGTAAAATGTCATAATGAGGTACATACATAACCTATATTGAAAATACATACTTAAACCTCCTGCGTTCGGCTAAACGAACGTGCGAGAGGAATATAACAGAAAAGACCAACTGCAGTCTGTTTAAGTGGAAACAAACAAAAGACTGCACGAAAAAGCCGTTTCTATGTGTTTGGCTGTACGAACGTACGAAAGAACAGGCAAACGTAGGTAAGTATGTGCGGTCGGTAATTATTTAAACGAAAGCAAAACGAAAGTGTGTGTACTGTGGTTGGCTGTTAGCCGCACGAACGCAGAAGTACACAAAAAGCTTAATTGCACAAACGGGTAAGTAATGAAGGGAGCCTATCCCCGTGTTCTTGGGCCCGAACGTGGGAAAAAGCCGAACGCATACGTGCCGGTCTCATGACCGGAAGCCAGATTGCCGGGTAATGGGTAGCAAAGTCAGATGGAAGCCGGTGGACGGGCCCGGAGGTCGGCGGCAGGAGCTGCTGGTGACGGACTGTTTGCTCGAGACAGGACTTGGCGGGAACAACGAACCGGAAGTGCAGGTAACTATGCAGACAAAGGTTTGCACGACAAAGGTAAGTAGGGAGGAAGGGGTTTAAATAAGGTCATAACTCCTCCCACAAATTCAGGCCAAATGGCCTGCCAACATACTGAGCACAGCTATGTATACTGCTCCCAGACATGTACTGAGCACTCAGCCCAAATATGTAATAATATATATACTGAGCACAGCTATGTAATTATATATATATGCTATATATATATATATATACTACTCTAAGACATGTACTGAGCACTCAGCCCAAATATGTAATAATATATATACTGAGCACAGCTATGCAATAATATATATACTGCTCCCAGCCCAAATATGTTGGGGGCATATATTAAATAGGGGGCTGTGCCTTAGATGTGGAGGGCTGTGTATTAAATGGGGGGGCTGTGTGTTAGATGGGGGACTGTGCATTAGATGTGGGGAGGAAGTGTATTAGATGGGGGGCTGTGCGTTAGATGTGGGGGGCAGTGTATTAAATGGGTAGCTGTGCGTTAGATGGGGGATTTGGGGGCTGTGCATTAGATGTGAGACAGTGTATTAAATGGGGCTGTATGTTAGATGGGGGCTGTCGTTAGATGTCTTGGGGCAGTGTATTAGATGGGGCTATCGTTAGATGTGGGGGCAGTGTATTAAATGGGGGGCTGTCGCATACATGTGAGGGGCTGTGTTACATGGGGGGCAGTGTGTTAGATGGAGTGGCTGTGCGTTAGATGTGGGGGGCCAAGTGTATCAAATGGGGAGCTGTGCATTAGATGTGGGGGGCAGTGTATTAAATAGGGGGCTGTGCGTTAGAAGTGGGGGCCAGTGTATTAAATATGGGGCTGTGCGTTAGAAGTGGGGGGGCAGTGTATTGGATGGAGAGCCTGTGTGTTAGATGGGGGCTGTGCGTTAGATTTGGGGATGTGGGGGCTGTACGTTATATGTGGGGGCCAGTGTATTAGATGGGGGCTGTGCGTTAGATGTGGGTGGAAGTGTATTAGATTGGGGCTGTGCGTTAGATGGGGGGGCAGTGTATTAAATGGGGGCTGTACATTACATATGGGGGAGCAGTGTATTAGATTTGGGGGCTGTGCGTTACATGGAGAGTTGTGCAGTATGTGTGGCCTTTGTGTTAGATGTGTACATCCCTAGTTTCACAACAAAATATTTATTTCCAAGATCTCGTATGCCATGGCTGAGAAACTGCACCCCAGCCAGAGGGACTGCCCCACATCTGCAATCAAATCCGTCTCCCACTGAATTCTGAAATCGCTGTCTCCTTGTGCATTGTGTATGTATAGGATTCACAATTCTTATATTTAATACGGTGTGTCTTCCACAATCTTTGTGTCTGTCTGCTGTATATATATGGCACGCAAGTGTGCATGCAGTGTGTCAGAACTCTGACAAGCATGTTCTCCTATGGGACATGAAGAGGAATGAAGAAGGCTCGTATCCAGGGTGGAGTATTGAATTTATAAGTATTGGAGTGGCATCTGACACGTGACAAGGTTCTCCTGTTTGCACAGCAACTTCAAAATTGTGTACTGTGATCACTGTCTAGTTCAGAGGTAGGTAACCTTAGGCAGTCCAGTTGCTGTGAATTAGATCTCCCATAATGCAAAGCATTTATGGGGAGGTGTAGTCCAAACCATCTGGAATACCGAATGCATATGAATGAAAAGTATGGTGTGTGTGAATGGTCAGTAACAAGGGTTGAAATCTTGACGTGACGTTACTGCTCACATGTGTATCCATGTGCCAATTCAACCAATGGGAGTGACTGTAACTCTTATGAGGTAACCATAAATACTGTGACTGTGGAGAATTAAACGCCTGTTTCACCTAAACACTGCGACCGTATCACCTAAACACTGCTTACACTGGGACCGTATCACCTAAACACTGCTTACAACTGGGACCGTATCTCCTTAACACTGCTTACACTGTGACTGTATCCCCTAAACGCTGCTTACACTGTGACTGTATCCCCTAAACACTGCTTACACTGTGACTGTGTCCCCTAAACACTGCTTACACTGTGACTGTATCCCCTAAACACTGCTTGCACTGTGACCGTATCACCTAAACACTGCTTACACTGTGACCGTATCGCCTAAACACGGCTTACACTGTGACCGTATCGCCTAAACACGGCTTACACTGTGACCGTATCACCTAAACACGGCTTACACTGTGACCGTATCGCCGAAACACTGCTAGTACTGTGACCGTATCTCCGAAAGACTGCTTACACTGTGACCGTATCGCCTAAAGACTGCTTACACTGTGACCGTATCAGCTAAACACTGCTTACACTGTGACTGTATCTTACACTGTGACTGTATCCCCTAAACACTGCTTATACTGTGACGGTATCACCTAAACACTGCTTACACTGTGACCGTATCAGCTAAACACTGCTTACACTGTGACTGTATCTTACACTGTGACTGTATCCCCTAAACACTGCTTATACTGTGACGGTATCACCTAAACACTGCTTACACTGTGACCGTATCACCTAAACACTGCTTACACTGTGACTGTATCTTACACTGTGACCATATCATCTAACCCGGAAGTCTCTGCACATGTGGAGAGGTGAAGACCAACCTAAGGATACAGAGAGGATCTTGTATTGTAACCAGGACATTGGTTTGCTCTAAGTGCTCCGAGTACAGTGAGATTCTGTTTTTAATACTACTGTATTTGTGAATAATAAAGACCTTAAAGGGACACTCCAGTGCCAGGAAAACATTTTTTTACTTGCACTGCAGGTCCCCTCTACCTCCCACCCCCCCATCCCAGGTTGCTGAAGGGGTTTAAACCAGGTTCCGCCCACGCTCGTCCCCCGCCGAAGTCATCAGGCAGGGGAGACTGATTGCGTATGCACGGCCGCCGGCGGGGTGAGACCTAATGCGCATGTGCAGCAATGCCGCGCACGCATATTAGACATAGCGTGAGGAGTCCAGCGACGCTATAGCACAGAAAATCTGTGCTAGAAACCCATGAGTGCCCTCTAGTGGCTGTCTAGTAGAACCCTGCAAGGTAAATATTGCAGTTTATGAAAACTGCAATAATTACAGTTGCAGGGTTAAGGGTAGTGGGAGTTGGCACCCAGACCATTCCAATCGGCAGAAGTGGTCTGGGTGCCTGGAGTGTCCCTTTAACTTGAAGCTGGCAGTGAGTCCATATTGCAACCAGTGTTAGGATCCAACGATCTCTAGGGTCTGATCCTCGCTGGGCCTGATAGTCTGGAGTGGTACTACAACCACTCCACAAATGTGAGTGTATGTACTTTGAGCACCAGATTTCTATACTGTGTTACTGGCTATATTGCACTAGGTCTATGTTTGTTTATGTATTATAGATTTTGAGACCTGCTTCAGAAGGAGAGTGCAAGTATACAATTTTGTTTTGTTAAATAAGACTGCACCCTTACACAGTGTGACATTGCAAAAAAAAATTCTCACTAATAGAATTTAAGTGTATATCCTTAGGAATTCCGGATATGTTGTCACTTTTCCTCCAATGATACTTTTTTTACAGGTTCAAAAGGTTTATTTGCGCACCTACATATTTTACTCTTTTATTGCTTGGGGAATTTATCAGAGGTCCTTGTAGGCTGCTGCATTTATATATTATTGTTTTGAGTTTGCCTCTGGTGGTGACACTTGTTTTTGTAAATACTTTGCGCCATTCTAATTTGTTGATTTGCATATCTTTTGTGGTTATTTATTTCTATAATTGAGTCTGGCATACTTCACTAAATACCTCTGATTTCTCCCATATATCCACAAGAGAAGCTTTTACTGCAATCATTTCCTGCAGAGTTTGTACTCCACCAGATCCTTAGGCGGGGATCATTCCGCCCAAGGGTGCAATTTGGAGCTGTACTTAAGCTTCTAAAAAATGTGTGTACATTTTTATTTACCTTCACCTCACAGAATGTTTACGTACTTCACTATTAGTTCTCTTTCTTTTCTCATTTTTATGGTGATATATATATACTCATAGGACACTGCACTACACCTCCCCTTCTGCTTTTACATATAATATATACTTTTCCTAGCAATGTAATAAACTTATTCCAGCCATGTGAGCTATACTGCTCCTAGTAATATACACTGAGTCCAGTAATACTGACTGTATATATATATATATATATATATATATATATATACATAGAATGGCATTTGTTTCTCTTTTTTTTGTTTATTCTCTGATATTCACAATTTAGGGGTTACCACCCCCCCTTTTTTTGTGCCCTCTACCTTTTGATATCTAAATTTTGGCCCTAGGTTAATTTTCTTTCATTTTCTTTGTATAATAACACATACTCCCAACTATGTAACACACTCACTGCTCCTAGCCTGCTCCCACAACTTCTCGTCACACTGACTGTTAACAACATACACTGATCCCAGACATGTAATACTGTGCATTCAATACTCAGTCTTACTGATTGTAAGTAACACGTTCTTCCTGTAACACTGTATATAATGCACTCTGCAGCTCATAGCCATACTGACTGTATACTACACACATTGAGCACAGCCATAATTCCAGAAACACCAGATTTAATCAGATTTAAAGGAATGGCAATGTGCATATTTACTAACGCTAATTCTGGTCGAAAAGCTTTTTGCATCCAATACCCTATAAAAAGTATAGGATTCATAAAATATACAATGCACCGATTTTAAAAAACTTGGAACTGAATGCATCCAACACGGTGCACATTCATAAATTATCATTCACTTGCGTTTTGCAATCATTTGAATTACTATTTGCCCACTAGTGGCACAAGGGTTATTCATGTGGCAGCTGGCTGGCAATTGACAGCCAGCTGCCACATTAAAAAATGTAAAATAAACAACTTATGGGATCTCAATAACCCCCATATTAGTATTAGAGAAGTTTTTAATTTCCTTTATAATACCACCTTCCATGCAGCATGTGGGAGCATATCTACTAATCAGTCAGCAGCCAGAGGTTGTTTATTGTAGCTATAAAACTAGTGACTGGTCAGCCATTGTTGCCTAGTCCCTAAAAAAGGTACCCCTTGTGCTTCCATCGCCTTACCACTATGCCTGTCTGACCCTGGACCAACTATATAATTTGAAAATTATATC